AACAAGGGCCTGCAGGAATCCCCCAGCCAGTATTTTCACTGACAACCGCTCTGCAGTGGGATCTGCTGTGTCCTTGGCCACGCCGATCCCAGCAGGAGCAAGGGGAGCAGCGGCTCTGCTGCAGATGGCAGTGATGAGCTGCGACGCAGGAAAGGGTGACGTCAGGCTCCCTTTGACGTGGGTATACAGGACCAAAGCCCACGAGGCCTTTGCACTGCCTGAACCGAGACACTGACCCACTCAGCTGACGGTGAAGGGAGCCAAGGGAACAGAGCCAAGGGGAAGGAACTGCAGGCAGCGTGCTCAACAAGAAGCCTTCTCCATACCCTGCCAGAAATGCTAATGCTCACCCGGCCACGCAGGGGCCCTTGCCTTGTTAGCAGTTACAAGCTCAGTTCAGATCTGGGAGGCCAACAGGACATTATCTTCTGTGCTGCATTTCTTGTAATAAGAGAGTGAATGGGTCTTGATGGTTTAGTCATCTCTAGTATTAAACTACACCTGCCCAAGCAGGCAATGCCCACCGCCCCTCTGGAAGGCAGAAGGTAGCGTGATCCCCATTCTACAAACGAGATGTCCCAAACAAATGACCGGTTCCCCAGTGATGCACAGAAAATCTGAATTGCTCTTTTCCCCTGCCAGGGCCCTCAGGAAGCTGCTCTCAGGTCCAGTACTCCACCCTGCCTGGACAGGCCCAGCAGCATTTCCCATTTGCAGTCTGCAGAGGTGAAGGAAGTCCTGCTTGGGACACCTCCAGGGCAAGCACGTTACTGACCACTTTGTCAACAGGCTTTTGACCAAACAACTTGCCACCAACTCCCTCCACGATGACTGCTCGGCTCTGATTCCTGGTGGGGGTGAACTGCCACTCATGCAAAAGGATATCTGTACTGCAGCTTCTTGATAAGCTCTTCAGGGGTAATAAATGTCCTGTATGTAGTCAGAAAGGCTTCACAGTACAGCACCAGATCTACAGAGAAAGACAAGAAAGCCTCAGTGAACTCTGCTTTCAGAAAAAGGAATCTTCTTGTAAGGTTGAATCCAGCCTTACGAGAAGAGGACACGGACACATTTTGACACGAATGGACTTTACAGAAATGCTGTGCTGTTGTTTCTTACCAGCAGATGGACCCTACGGCACAAGAGCAACAGTGAAACTGCCCTGTCCCCACCAGCCTGGCTCCCATTTGCAGCACTCAGGCTTGCTGCTTTGCTTATGCGACCACCAAAGAGGTCAGTGAAAAACACCTGTTGGCAGGGCAGGAACTTTCAATAACGGGTCAAGGAAAAATGCGGCTTAGACCTTGGGTGTACTTTAAAGAGAAGATCTGATGGCGAGAGGTGCGTGCCTGTTCTCTGTCTTTACTGCTTAGGCAGCACAGAGCCCTGCAGAAAGACACGGTCACTCTTCCCTCCTGATCAGGAATGCACGTATTTCGACACGATGATACGGTCCTGCAGACAGTCTGCCCTTGCTATGTTCCAGGAAATCTGCCCCAGGGCAGTGTAAATATCAGATTATTTTCAGCCAAAAGAAGAGTAAATTGCACTGCAAAAACGGACACTACCATGACCATGACCCTGCCACAACACAGACGCTGATGTGGTGCACGCAGTCAACTTCTGTTTATTAATCTCCAGCAGTGGGTGCTGCAGGCCCCAGAATCACAAAGGCTTTGGCCATCATCATGGGCACAAAGGACAGAATTTGAAAAAGCAGGAACTGCAAACGGCAAAGAAGATTTCAGGTCAAGACTGCAGTGCACTCGCAGTCCCGGGCAAAGTTTGGTCACTGCGGACAGCAGCGGTCAAAATGGAAACTTCTTAGCCCCAGTACTAAACCACAGAGCACTGCAGGCAGCATGTGCAGTGGGATGGCACGCTGCCCCTGCCCGGTGCACTGCAACCCCTGGCAGAGCCTTGTTAGCGCAGACGGGGAGAAAAAGCTTCTTCCGTGCCTGCCCAGGCTAGGCTGTACATGTAAAGCTTGTTTCAGCCAGGACAGGGATCACCCCACACCCATCTGCTGTAACACCCATCCATTGCGCGTAGGGGGTGGGAAAGAGCAGGGCACAGTGTGATAGCTGTGCCTCTCTACCTGTGGTGTTTCTCTTGGCAGGAGCCTGACAGAGACGCCGCTTCCTCCTGCTCTTAGATCAGACAGCACTGCTGTCTTTTGGTTGAAGACAATCAGACATAAGCTCTAAAGCCAGAGGCTGGGTGGTCATGTCAGGGGTGAGTCCTAGGCCTCGTCCAGCTGTAATCCTGCACTCGCAGCAAGCGCGCGTGGCTGTGAGCACTTAACTGACCATGGATTTTATTCCTAAAGACCACAAGCCTCTCTTTATCCCTTATTCCATTTAGCTCTTTTAGAAAACTCAAATGGACAAGAAGCATCATGCAACAGGGCGTGGAGTGAGATTTATTCTGGGTTCCCATCTGCCCAAAAGGCAACGTGAGGTAATACAGCTGGTCTGCTCTGGCACTTGAAGCTGCCAAGAAATTCATCTTTAAAGGAAAGCCTCTTAACTATACCCCTCTGTGCCGTTTGGCTGATTGATTTACAAGCCCTGAATTCTTCTCATTGTAAGCTTAATTCATTAACCCTCTCCGTCACCCAAACACTGGGTTAGCATAGCACAAATTCCTCCATGCTCCATTCAGCTCAGCGGCTTGGCAGAGCCTGTGAGGCCAAGCTCTGTGACTATTCTGAGAAACGTGCCGTGCAGAGCTCCCTCCACCCAGCCGTTCTCCCCGTCCGCACTGCTGCGCATTTAAAATCCTGCTCTAGTTTTTCCTAGTCTTGTGAGGCTCTCCACGGCTTTCACCTCGCTGCCTGCAGCACCCACAGAGCTCCCTGTTCACGAACTGGAGGTCTAGCACACATCACTTTACCAGGTAGCTGTCTTTCAAGAGGAACAGTAGGGAAGTTCTTCCAACGTGATGCTCATTCCTGAGAACAGCAGGACTAAATCAGAACTTCTCTATTCCAGTTTCAGCATTTTTATAAGGGGTATTTCCACCATCTCATTTAGACTATTTTTTTAAAATATACATATCTAGCCTTGGCGCAATCAATTGCCTCCTCCTCTCTAGCATGTTCCTAACTTTTGTCCTTTCTGCCTGGATTCGATACCCAATGTAAACAGGGAAACATAGGTGTCAGGGGAAGGATTTTCTTGCTAGCTGAATGGCGCTGGTAAGTAATTGCAAACGCCTTATGCTACAGTAAAAACCCTGCCATTTAAAAATGCACATGAAAGATATTTCCCTTTTGACTATCGAACCTCTAAAATACGAGCGCTGAGCGGGTCAGTGGTTTAGCGCATTTTGCCTTGCATCCCAGGAGATAAGGAGATCAATTCTGGTTAAGGCCATCAGCACAAATGTGTTTGGCAGGTTCAAAATCACTCTCTGGAAACATTGCAGAGGCTGTCTTTGCCACAGGTCTTGGAAAGGAGCTGCTTCGTGTGGGTGGTGACTGGGTTTGGAGAGATAAAATGGGGTTTTAACAAATCTAGAGGTATGGGTTGCTAATCTCCCTTTTCCTCACCCACATCTCCCTTCTTGTACTGTGGATTCCCTCCCTGAACTGGTCTGGGGGCTGCCAGCGTGCAAGTGGTACAGAGTGGGACTAGGAACTGACACAGTAAGTTAAAAATAAGGGGTGTCTGCAGACCAGCACCTGGACAGCTTGCCCGATGCCCACGGGTATTGCATTAGACCCAAACCAACGTCCCTCCTCTCCTACTTTGATGTAACAGTCGCTCCAGCAACATCTACATCACCACTGCCCTGATGTTCAAAGGACAAGGAGCACCTCTGAAAACAGGATCCATGCCACAACAGGCTGGTCACACCTGCACTCGCAGAAGGCAGTGGCCTACTTTGGCAGGCACGGAGACACCAACACAGCACTGCCACCAACTCCCCTGGTGCGCCTCGCCTTCCAGATCTGGGTAAGGGCTATGAGGAGTTAATACCATCCCTGCTGCTGAATGGAACAAACAGGCGCTTATCCAGCTTACCTCTGTTTCACCAAAGATAAGCACAATCCCCCCGCCCCCCCCGCCACCCAGTTCGGAGGATCACAAATGCAGTCCTCTCTGCCCTGGCCCAGCTGTCTGCAGCCTCATCGCAACTGTGCACGCTAGAGACGCAGAAGAAAAGCAGCAAAAGGCCATGCCAGGCTGCGCTCCTCAGCTCTGTTTTGGTGCATCCACCGTACCTTTCCTGTCGGTCTCTGTTGCATGCACTAACAAAATGTCTCCGGATCCACCACGAACATCTGGCCCATCATCTCCCTGCAATGAGAACAGAAACATGTTAGACATGGCCCAAGCTCCCTTCGGCCTGGTTTACCATCTCGGGGGTTCAAGGTCAGCAACAACTGGCAGAGTACACAATGTTCCTAGCACTGCTCGCGGCACAAGCTGGGACATGGTCTTTGGTGCTGGGATAATCCTGGAATTTGAATAAAGCATTTGGTGTCCCAGATGAGGATCTGGGCTGATCCCCGCTTGGGGTCTCTGACTCCTTAAGGCCAGGCTGTGCAGCTCAGTGAAAGCTGAACCTTCTGTCCACAGAAGAATGAACAGAAATGTCCCAGACTCCCAAACGCTCCCAGCAGACCATTAACAGAGCAGTAACCCTGTGTGAACTGTCTCAAAGTGCGGGATCACGTACCACAGCGGCTGTGGGGTGAGAGGTCATGCATTCAACTTGCATGTTCCTGGAACATCAAAACCCAGCAAGTTAATTCCCTAATCTGGATCTATTTGACTGGAGGTCACCTGAAGCGATCCAGTAACTGGGAGCAGAAAACAGTCCTGCTAACTGCTTGACCCCTGCCTTACCACTCTCTAAAAGCATCTTTCTTCTAGCTACTGCAATTCACAACTAAAAATATGCAAAACTGATCTATCACTCAGCCGGCGGTTCCCACACTGCAGGAAACGGCTCGCAGTGGCAGTTCTATAGCGTTTCAAATACGTAGACCGTAAAGAAAAGAAAGAAAAAAAAGAAGTGAAGGGTTGACACACATCTGCTAGTCCCAAATGTTCAGAAATCACTGATTTTTAATTGTTTTTTTAAGGAAATACTCCTGCAGAGGAGCCTGGAGTCTGGTTTCCCTTAGCAATGTCTTTGTCATTTCAATATGCAAAACACTGAGAAAAACGTGGATTACAGCCATGGAGCAGCTACGTATAACGTGAATTTTTCAGGTGACCCTCTGGCAAGACTCATGAAATACTACTTAAGGAATGAGTAATGGCTTCTCACTCTCTCCTGCACATCTCAGCTGACCAAAGAACACTCCTAAAGTGCCTGTAAATGATACATTCTCTCTGTTTTTCAGACTAGCCCCCTGACAGTCTGAAAGCTTCAAAAGCCTGCATATTCCCTCAAGCTGCATGTCAAAGACAGCTTGGTTCAAGAACACAGTGAGCAAAGCTGTCTGGGAGTGCACCCAAGGCTAGAAACAAAGCCATTTCTCAAATACAGAAACAGTTACTTTGGCTGCTCTTCCACATCAGTAATATAACGTCCCGCTCGGGAAATCTGCTAAACCTGCCTTCAGATTGAAAGGCCAACACCATAAACCTGCACCCAGATTTACTGCGCTCAAGCTCTCACGTGCTTTATTTCACACTGTAGCAGGCTGAAGAGGTGAAAAGGAGCAGACTGGGGAAAGGGCACAAGATGAGCTGGTTTTTAGAGACATCTCACATTTTGTTAAATCCTTATTCATTGCTGATGCTCCCTGCCTGTACCAGCATCTCATACTTTCACAGCAGCCTGCACAACATAAAGCTGCATACCACTTCTGCTGCAACCTAGTTTTTCCTATCAAATAAAAGCTGATGCCTTGCTTGTGCACACAGAGAACCAGATTCCAATACAGCATAAACCAAAGAGTATGAAAGCAAACCCTGAATGCACCTACCTCTTGCTTCAGTGTTAACCTAGCCATAATTTCACTGTGGTCGATAAGGGATAGCTCATCTACCTCCTCCTCCAACTGTGACGATTCCAAAGCATCTGGTGACTGCTGCTGCCTGTTAAAAAAAAGGCAAATGCCCATCAGTGTCATTGCCCATCCCGGGGATGAGATGGTGGGTCCACCCGAGCTATCAGCGTACAAACCTTCATTAAATGACAGTAAGTACACAGACAGTCTGGAGGTAAATCTTTTGCAAACAAGACCAAATGTCTAGCTCTAATTCTGTTGCTTTGTGCATCTCTTGAAAAAGCAAAAGTTGAACCTTTAGGACCTGAACACTTGTCTGCCTGCATTTCTGGCAGACAGGATTTTACTACGCCCTGCATAAGTACACGCTTCCATGTGTCCTTAATCCACCGAATTTTTAGTGCACACAAATCTAAGCCCTTCTTCAAATGTATAAAGACTGAGTATACTCTACACGTATATACCTTAGTCAGCTCATGACCCATTGTGCTGCTGCAAGGGGAGATGACGGGCTCTCTTTTTGCAGGAAGATAGAGCAGAAAGCTCTGACCACTTTTTCGGTGTACATCCACAACTCTAGTATTCCTGCCCTCAAAGGTTGGTACTCTTGTGCCCAGACACATGTTCTCTGTGCCTGTATTCCTAAAAAAAAACCAACCCAAAAAACCAAACAATCCCCCCCCCCCT